TTGTGTACAATATAAGAAACGTATGATAATAATAATAAATATATATATATCAAAATATAGGGTATACGTTTTAGTACCTGATGAATCTGATGTATTTGATTATTCATGGGATACACCGATTGTTGGTGAGGTCCTGTATGAAGCCCGTGGACTTGACTCTGACTTATATACATCGTACCAGCCTGCACCGGTAAACCATGATGCGGATATAACGCAGGCGGTTGCCCTCCGCCTCCACCTACCCCAGTCATCCCGACTACTGGTGTTCCGCTAGCACTCTGGCCACCTCTATGATTAATACCACGCGGTTGTTGCGGCCTTGGACCCGTTTGATAATAGCCCTATAATACATGAGAAGTGGTAAAAACCGGTTTTGCGCAATTTTCATTTTTTAAAAAAGTCTCCTTCTTCCATAAGATTATTTATGTATAAACGACGATGTACATACCTGAGACGCCGCCCTATTCTGCGCCGGCACGTAAACTTGTTGTAAAGACGCCGGTTGCGTCTGTAAGTGGGCCTGCTTTCCCATTTCCTGAGGTGACGGTGTATGGACAGGCGGTGTCGTGGTAGGCGCCGGACCTTGCGGCGGTTGCGATTGCACTCCCGGTGTCGGTGCTTGCGAAGGTGCTTGCCCTCCGGCGGGACCTCCTGACGGTATACCCGCTGCGGATTGTCCTATCGTCTGTATACCGCCCAGCGGCGGCGGCCCTCTACCCGTGGGTACTCCTACATTACTCGCTGCACTTCCACCCACCTGGCCCCCTGGTTGGGCGCTGTAATTTCCATGAAACTCCGATCCTGAAACGAGATTTACAACTTGATCAATGTACGTTCTATAACAATCGCACCCAATCCACGATTTCTCGTTATCTCAAAATGTCGTGCAGAATTGTTTTACATTCTTTTACAGCATAATAAATAAGAGCGTAAGATAGCAACACGCAAGGTCAATGTCACATGTGTGATACGATATAAAACTCTATGCATTCTGCAGATTTTCATAGTTGACTGTAACTGTTTTTATATAACATAGCTTTTACGTTAACTTTTATGTATTTCTATATAAATATCTAATCATATATATAAAGGGATTGCATCGTTTGATCCTTAATATATACAAGATACTGTGCGATGAATACGATAAATAAATTTGTAAAGCAAAGAATACAAGAAGGTAATATAATGCAAGATATTCGACAATTTTTTCACATTAATTTTCCCCATTTAAATATTTATCTTTTATTAGGCAACAATATGATTCAAAAATAGCTGTGACCATTTACACAAGATGCATACACTGGAAACTGAAATGAATCATATCGTGTTTAGATTGATTAATCTTGCTGCAGCAGGTATATTGCGCTAGACATGTTATCACCTTAGGTTATTCTGATAAGAATTAACATTGGATTTCCATTTGTAAAGCTATTAATAGATCACAGTCGCTTGACAGCTCCCTTTTCCGCGTCGGCACGTACTGCCTCTCCCCCTCCTGCTCTTCTCGCTGGAGGGAAGACGTGGAACATCAGAGAAAAGTGCCGACTGAACGAACTCGGCCTGGCACTATTGTCACCGATGTGTTAAAATCCATGTACTTATTAACGTTGCATTTAGCGATCTAATGTCAGGAGATACGTTGTACGATTTAATATCCAAGAATTTATAATGATTTATTACACACATATATATATATCATCGGGAATATAATTTTTATAAAAAAATTATTTATTTTATCTGAAGTCAGTTTACATGGAGATTCGGAGAAAATCTTGCAAACATCTATAAAACTATAATAATATATATAGATAATTATTTTTTGCCGTTCGCTGTATGATGTAATTAAATGATTTAATATGGCTGTATATATAATCGAAGCTTACGCTATCTTTCGATATTTTATTATCAATTGATAAGTTTAGTCTATGTGTACACGATATATATATATATATATATTTCAAATTCATTGGATGAAGAGAGAAAGAGAGTTTGATTTATTCCATCTCTTGAAGTATATAAGACTCGTTTAGTTATATAGTAATTATTAAGAGTTGGTTATAAAAAGAACATAAAAATACCTATATAAAAAAAATAAGAAAATTAAAATAGTTTGTGATTTCAAACTCTCTTACTTAAGAAATAAAGAGAGATAAGAAACAAAGGCGAAGTGCTTAATGAAAAGTATACTTGTGCGGACTAATGAGAAACACAGCGACGACACTAATCGCACGAACTCTTACACAGCATATAGATAAGTTATCTATAAGCGCTCGTATTCCCGAAACATATATCTCATTCGGATCTCGATAACGTTCTCTCGCGGCCACTCGCCATCCCGTCCCGATTTCTTCGCCGTACCAATTACATAGCAATGACTCGCTACCGCCTACGACAACGTTGACGTCGACGTTTTCCACACGTCCAGATATTACCACGCGCCGAGCATATCGTTATCGCGTCCCCGATATTCGCGTTACTTCCGGATTTGCAGCGCAAATTCCGTTATTCGAGACACACGGACATGCCCTCGTCGTCCCTTCGCGTTGAACCAACGAGCCGATCGAGGGAACAATGAATGAGAATGTACGGACTACACGGTGGTTACACGCGTGTCCCGCTCGAGTCGGTGAAAAATATGGGATCGTTGGTCGCGTCCGCGCGCCTGCTCACCGTTTTTTTTTTTTT